TTGAGAGACAGAGAGAGTGAGCAGGGAAGGGGTAGAGACAGCGGGGAGACACAGAATCTAAAGTAGGCTCCAGGCTCTGAGCTGTCAGCACAGAGCCCGACGCAGGGCTTGAACTCACGATCTGTGAGATCGTGACCTGAGCCAAAGTCAGTCACCTAACCAACTGAGCCACCCGGGCGCCCCAGAAATGACTTCTTATTTATTTAATTTATTTAATTTGAGAGAGAGAGACAGCGAACGCTCCCTCTCAGAGGGAGAGGGAAAGAGAGAGAGAGAATCTTAGGCAGTTTCCACACTCAGCACGGGGCCTGACATGGGGTTCGACCCCACAACCTGAGCTGAAATCAAGAGTCAGATGCTCAACCAACTGAGCCACCCCCCCCCCCCCCCCCCCCCCCACCGCCAAACCAAATGACTACTCTCTTAAAGAGAAGGGCATCTTGCCCCTTCTGCTTTCACTCTTGCTGCTGGCTGCCATGTGGAACTAGCAGTGGGCCATCCTGGACGTACAGGTGAAGGCTCCACTCCTCAGATGGTAGAATGAGCAGACTGCAAGAGCCTGGGGCTCAGCGATCTTGGAATCTCCAGGCAACCTGAGACTGCTTGCACCCAAACTGCCAGAGGACTCAATGTCTACTTTGTCTGCAGCACTATTATTTTGTGTCTTAATTTGAGCAGCTGAACTCATAACCTCATTAACACAATAGCAGTTATCACATTTTGTAATTATATATTTATTTGTGATGACTTTTTGTGTAACTGTCTTTACTACTAAAGAATAAAGCTCAGGGCGCCTGGGTGGCTCAGTCGGTTGGGCGTCCGGCTTCAGCTCAGGTCATGATCTCGCGGTCCGTGAGTTCGAGCCCCGCGTCGGACTCTGTGCTGACTGCTCAGAGCCTGGAGCCTGTTTCAGATTCTGTGTCTCCCTCTCTCTCTGACCCTCCCCCATTCATGCTCTGTCTCTCTCTGTCTCAAAAATAAATAAACGTTAAAAAAAATTAAAAAAAAAAAGAATAAAGCTCTTTGAGGACATGGAACATGTCTATTTGCTTACCCTAGAATCCTGGTTCCTGGTACAGTGTAGGAACGTAATAGACTTTCAATAAATGCTTTAGAATGAATGAAATAATAGCATAATAAATGTTTATGACCATGTTTGGCTATTCAAATAATATTATAGAGACAATATATAAAAACAAGCAAAAAGCCTATTAACAGAGAAAAGGTTAGATCTAATACCAAAATGTAAACAGTAACTGTTTGAATTATTGGTTTTAGCATGATTTTTCCCCCTACATTTGCCTATATTTTCCATATTTCCTTTAATCATATATATATGTATAGCATTAAAGAATATGTGTGTATGTATAATTAAAGAATATAAAGTATATACATATATATAATTAAAAGAAGTCTAAAACATATAGGCAAATGTGTGTGTGTATATATATATATATATATATATATATATATATAATGAAAAACATGTAACAAAACAAAATGGACCAAGAAGTCAGTTGATCCCTGAGGGCCTTGGAGAAGGAGGAGAAAGTGTGTGGAGTATTTTTATCCTGGGAGATTTAACCAGCTGTGGTCTGGTGTAGACCTTCCCAGACCATTTAGATGCTCAAGGTGTCATGTAAAAGCCAAAATACCAGACTGACTTTTAACAGAAGGAATGAAACTCACTTCTTGGCAGAGGCCATGAAAAAAATGAGAGGGGGAGAAATATTATGGGACAATAAGGCATAGCTCTTTAAAAATATAGCAATCAACCACAGGACAATCTTTATTGAGCTAAAGCTTGGAAAGAAATGTTATTATATTTCATCCATAATTACACAGATGGAACATCTCACCATGGAGAGTCATATATTCAGAAAGGATATAGTGAGCAACTGTCACAGCTAAAGGCCAAGTTAACAAATTGTGCCTCTGTGGTTATTTACTTATAAAAGTCAATTTTGGAGTTAAGCACTGAGCTTTTGCCTTGATTGCAACCTTGACTGAATGAAAGTGTATGCCTATTTCAAATATATTCGTTTTGATATCAAGTAATTAGACTAAGGAAATATTTTATGTGCTCATAACTCTAAAAAATTAATTTCAATGGGCACCTGGGTGGCTCAGTTGGTTGAGCGTCTGACTCTTGGTTTTGGCTTAGGTCATGATCTCATGGGTTTGTGGGTTTGAACCCTCCGTTGGGCTCTGCTCTGACAGTGCAGAGCCTGCTTGAGATTTTCTGTCTCCCTCTCTCTCTGCCCCTCCCCTGCTTGCTCTCTCTCTCTCTCTCTCTCAAAAGAAATAAACTTAAAAAAAACATTAATTTCAAGATTAGCAAGTAATAGATGTTCTTATAAATGTTAGTTGGTGACAGTGTGTTATCCATAGCATAATTTTAAAAGTCCTTAATTTTTCCTCTACTTCCATTAATTGGAATTCTGCCTTAAAAGTTTATGTATCTATAGGCTCATAACACTTTTAGTATGCATGACTTTGATTTGCATTAATTTGTGATTACTAGAAATGGTATTTTTCAATACAGATTGATTGGCCTGGAGGTGAGAAAACTAAATATGTCCATCAGACAGATATGAAACTGGGTAATGGAAATAAAATAGAAGATAAGTTAATAATAGCTAATGGTAGCTGTTAAAGAATAGTTTTTAACAAAACTGTAGAAACATGACTCTCATATAGCTATAAAATGAAGACATGTCAAAAATTTCATTTAAAGAGTGCCTGGCTGGCTCAGTCAGTAGAGCATGTGACTCTTGATCTTGGGGTTGTAAGTTTGAGCCCTATGTTGGGTGTAGAGATTACTTAACAAATAAAATATTAAAAAAAAATTTCATTTAACTCATTAGTTAGTGTGGGAACCAGTAAGACATTGCAATCAATTCAAAGAAATAATCAAAGTACCAGACTATATGGGCAGTCAGGAATGCTTAAGTAAATCTGCTTAACACATACGAAACTGGTCAATATCCATAGAATAATAATCAACTGAAACTCCTACGAACATAATTTGTATGTTTATGGACAAGAATAATGTGCACTGTTGTCAATATTCTGTAACTTAGAGAAATGTAAAATAGCTCAAAGATGATGAAAGGCACCAAGAACTCTTAGACTCAAATAACCTGAACAATGTCTAGCTTACCACTGAGACACAATCGTTTTGCTCCTTTTAAACTCTTTTGTTTTTTAATTTTTAAATTATATTTTAGAGAGAGAGAGAGTGTGGGAGCTGGGGAAAGGGGCAGAGGGAGAAAGAATCCCAAGCAGGCTCCAAGCTCAGCATGGAGTCTGATGCAGGGTTCGATATCACGACCCTGGGATCATGACCTGAGCTGAAATCAAGAATTGGCCACTCAACCAGCTGAGTCACCCAGGTGCCCCTAAAAAGTCTTTCTTAATGTTTTCCGTACATAGCTGACTTGTGTTGAGTGCTGTTTACGGGCGAGACACTGCCTAGGTGCCTTAAATACATCAGCTCATTTAATTTGTACAAGAACCTTATGAAGTAGGTTTTATTATTATTTCCATTTCCTAGGGCAAGTATCTGAGGCACAAGAAAAGGTAAATCTGTCACCAAAGGTCACAGAGATAGTAGGAAGTGGGACCAGGATCTGAATCCAGGTTTTGTATCAGCTACAAAACCAAGTATGTGAGTAAGTAAAGGAAAAGAAATTGATGGACCTGATCAGTCACATTACATTAGATATAGAAGAGGGAAGACAGAAGGATGACTCCACAGTACTTTCCCTGGTTGTGAGAAGGGAATTACTGTCCAGTTAAATAAAGAGACTAAAAAGGGGAGTTAGTGGACTTTGAAGTCATGGCAAGATGTCCAGATGGAAAATTCCAGCTGGGCAGGAGATCAGAACTAGAAATGTAGATGCATGATTTTTTTTTTTTCTTTTACATATCAGGCTTAAATTGCGGTATCAAAAACACTAATAGTGTGTGTCTGTCAGAGCTAAAGAGAGAGAAGAGAACATTATGAAGGAGGGACTGAGGTCCTGCATAGGCTGCAGAGGCAGTCTTGGAAGTAAAACCAAAGCAGGGTTAATTGGAGAGAGTTGGTAGGAACATGCAACAGGGTACACTCCTTTGGTTTTAAGGAGAAACATTAAACTGGAGTCACAAATGCAAATAGTCAGGGTTGAGGCTGAAAAGTAAATAGAGGGCGTATATCACGGAAGGGCTTTATCCAATGAGTAGTAAAGGCTGTCAAGCAAGCAAGGATCATGATCGGATGTACACTTTTTTTTTTTTTTATGTTATGTTTATTTATTTTTGAGAGAGCGAGATAGAGTGAGAGCAGGGGAGGGGCAGAGAGAGGGAGACAAAAATCCGAAGCAGGCTCCAGACTCTTAGCTGTCAGCACAGAGCCCAACGTTGGGGCTCGAACTCAGGACGGTGAGATTATGATCTGAGCCGAAGTCGGACGCTCAACCGACTGAGTCACCCAGGCACCCCCGGATGTACACTTTAGAAAGAACCAGCCTGGCTACTGCATGAATAGACCGGGCAAATCTGGCAGGCGGGAGGTATCACTGGGATCCAGATGTAGGCGGAGATGGATGGCTTGGACCAGGTCAGGTCATGGTAACTAGACCCAGCTTTAATATTTGAGAGACTGCGGGTAAGAGTACCAAAGGAGGCTCACATACTATGTGAATACTGAAAAGTTATAAATTAAGCTAGTAAACTGTCAAATAAAATATTCTCTATCCTCCTACCTTGATAAATACATCTTCAGAAGGACCCGGAAGGAAGGAGGAGAGACAGCGTGGGGTCCGCCGATTTCGGCGGGGCTTTTCTGGAACCCACAAAGCAGAAGAGCGCGGCGGCGACGACCCAGATGCAGAGGAGCACAGCGACACCTGGCTCCCTTCCGAGCGGCGTCCCCAGGCCGTCAGCCCGCCGCTGAGAATTGGGCGGGTGGACCTGAGGAGGCGTGGCGGGGTCGGAGGGCACGCGGCGTCGGTGTCATGGCGGCCTCCGTGCTGGGTTCCACCTGCGGCCCGATGCGGCTCGGCGTTACCGGCCTGTGCCGCCGCCGGCCGCCCCGGGGCCTGTGGGCTCGTGCGCGGCGGCTCCCGGGGCTCGCGGGGTCCGGGCGGAGCGTGGCCGCGGCCAGCGGATCGGGCGCTTCGGGCACCGACCGCTATTGCATGGATCTGCTGCGGTGAGCGAGCCCGGCCTGCGCTGGCAGGTGGTCCGGGAGTGGCCCGGAGGGACCCGGGTGGGCGCGGCGGGACTCGGGGCTGGCCGGGGCGAGCCGGTTGGCGGGGACTGAGGCCACCGGAAATTTCGCGCAGGCCACGAAATCGTGGCAAAACTTCTCGTCTGTCACCTTGACTGAACCTTAATTTTTACCTAAACCCACTGCATGCACAGCTTTGTAAAAGTTTGACGGACGACTAGTAATTTTTACCTAAGTGAGTTCTTCTGTGTCAGGCACTATGCAAAGTACAAGTAGTTTACTTAATCTTCTTTACAGATTGTGATGCACAAATGTAGACCTACCGTTTAGGGTTATGAGGATTAACGCATTTAGAACAGTGCCTGGCACAAAGCAAGGGCACAGTTAGCACAGTATAAGCCATTATTATCTTATTTAATGGATGAAGATACGAAGGTTTAGAGAGATAAGGGAATTTACCAGAGGTTGAGTAGAATAGTCTCATAAAGTTAGGGCCTAATGACAATTTTGTTCAGCCTTGATAACACCGGAAGGACTTGGCGCATGGCAGTTGCTGTTAATCATGCGCGGAATCATTAGAAGAATCAGGTCACCAGGTGACCTAGTGAGTCTGGGCAGGGGCCAGTTTTGGAATTATGCCTGACTGCAAAGATCAATGGCTTAGCCTCTGGTGCCCTTCTGCTGCCTTTGACTTATAACCTTGGTGAAAAGCTCAAAAAAGTACCTGGTCTGAAGAACTTCTGGGAAATGCTAGAATAATTAAGCTACCTTGGATTTGACTGGACTAGTAAATCCAAATTTTTTATATTCAATTTTAGCAAAATGTAGCATAACAACAGAATTCTCATGCATTTCAGCATTTTGTTTTGTTTTTAATCACTTTTTAAAATAATGTTTCTGCCCTATTTGTGGATTACTTACAGGGGAAACAAGATAACAATAGTGGAAATCAGAGCAATAAGCCAAAATTCCTAAAAAGTTACACACATTTTTATATATTTTAAAGTATAATTTTTTGATAAGAAACACAAGTTATCAAAATGTATACCGCCCATATCCACTTACTTGTTCAGGGTAATTTTTGACACCAGGAGCGTCCTAACTTCTCTATCCAGAGGTGAATAATCACTCTTCCTAATTTCTTATGTATTACTATATAGAAGTAATAGTATCATCACTATGTTATAGTATATGTATACATAGTTATTATACTATTCTTTTAGTAATAGTTTTATGGGTATCACATGACAGTTTTCTCAAATATGTATTCACAAATGGGCAGATACTTTGTCTATGTAGATATTTGGGTGGAATGGAGCCTTCTGACTGGTGATTTATTAAAAAGCCTGGATTTCACAGGCATACTTCATCTGCATTTATTAATCCTAGGTTCATCATTTGGGAAAGTTGCATTAAAATTCAGCTATTTGCTCTTTTGTAAATTTCTACTCCTACGTTATAGCCTGGTTATGAGGGTTAAATGCGATGACGTATGTAAAAATGCTGCACATAACAAACGCACAATAGTAGTTTCATTCAAAAACAAAATGAAACTTGAAAGGAAGACTGCACTTTCTGGCTTCAGATTGTCCATTAATCTTTGAAAAATTTGGCCTCTGAAATTATTCATGCGAGGTTGTTTTGGACATGTATCTTATGCAAGGCTTCCAAATATTGGAAAAGATACCAGGCCAGAAATTCGGGTTAGCCATCCAGAGCTCTGCTAGGAATCTAGGTTCCTGGGAATATCTCAAACCTAATTTACATAGGCATCTTGGGGCTTGTTTCTGAGGATCCAAGGCTGCCTCAGACTTTGGAATTAGTGCTATAAAGGGGTAAGGAGATGTTAGTGAAGATGTCTGACAGTGCACCTGTTTTCCATCCTCCCTCCACCTCATTGGAGAACCACTTTTTTGTGCTTCAGTGGCACAGGTCCATGGAAATAGCACAGCAGTCCTGACAGCAGATATGCTTATTTATCATATGTCTGTCTCTCCCTACCAGACTGAGGTCTATACCTATCTTCAGTGTCTAGACAGTGCTGGCGCATAGCGGGCCCTGAATAAATGTTGCAATTAGTGAATGAATGAAACGCCCTATTGCTGTATAAAACTGTCATAGTGTGGCATTTCTATCTGAAAGAGTTCAATAATTAGACCTTGGTTGGCTACTTAAGATATCCTTGTATACCAGTAGTCAGTATTTATAACACTGATCCTGAGTGATGAAAAAATGGTTAAGTAATCAGTATATCTTGCTCAATATAAAGAAGTTGGTAATATTGTTAGAAAAATTTCCAACCAAAATTAAACACACACACACACACACACAACACAGAACACAACAACTTTACAGAGAAACCCTTATTTGTGTAGAGTATCTTATTTCCCAAAGATTGTTACCATACTAGTATATCTTCATTTTTCATTTCCCTGTAAGAAACCTGATGTACTTCACATATTGGTTATTTTTTAGGAGATATGAAACAGGTAGGTTATCAAGCCTCATTTTGGAAATTAGGAAATAGATGTGGCAGATATCACTTTTGTCAGCTAATTGGATAGAAATTAAGATTGTAATCTTGATTGCTATTCAGTGTTTTCTCTGTTTCATATTAATTGCCGAGTGTTTCACTTTTGACGTTCAGAGACTTTTAATATTAAAATTTAATTTTAGGGGTGCCTGGGTGGCTTGGTCGGTTAAGCGTCCGACTTCGGCTCAGGTCATGATCTCACGGTCCGTGGGTTCGAACCCTGCGTCAGGCTCTGTGCTGACAGCTCAGAGCCTGGAGCCTGTTTCTGATTCTGTGTCTCCCTCTCTCTGACCCTCCCCTGTCATGCTCTGTCTCTCTGTCTCAAAAATAAATAAACATTAAAAAAAATTTTTTTTTAAATAAATAAATAAAATTTAATTTTAAAACATATCTATATGTATTTAAAAATATAAATTAGGGGCACCTGGGTGGCTCAGTCAGTCGAGTGTCCGCCTTCAGCTCAGGTCATGATCTTGCAGTGTGTGAGTTCAAGCTCCGCATCAGGCTTGCTACTTTCAGTGCTTAGCCTGCTTTGGATCTTCTGTCCCCACCTCTCTCTGTCCCTACCCCACTTGTGCCCTCTCTTTCAAAAATAAATAAAACATTAAAAAAAAAATTAAAGTATAAATTAGAGAGCTGTTTTGCCCACACTGTCCATTTTGTAGCTGAAACCACTCATGGTGAGATTTTTTAGTAGAGCTGTTTTGTGATAGCAGGGTCACTTGTTGTGATCCCTTCCTTTTGTTTACGTGGAAGTTGGAGGAAATTGTGAAGGGTGTGGCTAGAAGAGGTTTAAATTCTGTTAGGAAGATAACAAAAAGTGAACCAGTTGAAATCTGGGAGTAGTCTAAATTTCAGCACCTAAACTCCATGGAATCAAGTTGGACCTAACTTTATTTAGTTTACTGTTTTATAGGAAATAATGTTATAATAAAGTTCCAATGTATTCTAGTGAAAGTAGCCTTGTCAATAGGCAGTCATCCTATGATGTATATATAATAAGGACTATTCTGTTTTAAACTTTTTATTTTGAAGTAGTTTCATTACTTTTTTATTTATTTTTTTTTAATTTTTTTTTTCGACGTTTATTTATTTTTGGGACAGAGAGAGACAGAGCATGAACGGGCGAGGGGCAGAGAGAGTGGGAGACACAGAATTGGAAACAGGCTCCAGGCTCTGAGCCATCAGCCCAGAGCCCGACGCGGGGCTCGAACTCACGGACCGCGAGATCGTGACCTGGCTGAAGTCGGATGCTTAACCGACTGCGCCACCCAGGCGCCCCAACTTTTTTAAAAAATTTATTTATTTTGAGAAAGAGGGAGAGAGAGTGGGGGAGGGGCAGAGAGAAGAAGAGAGAGAATCCCAAGCAAGTCCTGTGCTGTCAGGGCAGAGCACCATCCCTCTCTGAGCTTGATCCCATGAAGGCGAGAGCGTAACCTGAGCTGAAATCAAAAGAGTCAGACACTCAACTGATGGGAGCCACCCAGGCGCCCCTGAAGTAATTTCAAATTGACATAGAAATTACAGAAATAGTACACAGAGATCCAGTATACTGTTCATCCAGATTACCTCATTGTTAACATTCTGAACATTTCAGAATAAGGTGTGGACATGATGTCCCATTACCTCCCCTTAATATTTTGGTGTGCCTGCCTGCCTGCCTGCCTGCCTGCCTTCCTTCCTTCCTTCCTTCCTTCCTTCCTTCCTTCCTTCCTTCCCTCCCTCCCTCCCTCCCTCCTTCCTTCCCTCCTTCCTTCTTTCCTCCCTCCCTTCCTTTCTTTTTCTTTCTTTCTTAAGTTTATTATTTTGAGAGAGAGAGAGAGCCAGAGCATGAATGGGGGAGGGGCAGAGAGAGAGAGGGAGAGAATCCCAAGCTGGTTCTGCTCTGTTAGCACAGAGCTTGACGTGGGGCTCAAACTGACGAACTGTGGGATCATGACCTGAGCCCATAAAATGCTTAACCAGATGCTTAACCGACTGAGCCACACAGGTGCCCCTAGTGTGTATTTCTTAACCCAGGGTTCCTCTCCCATATAATTATAGTACAATCAACAAAATCAGGATATTAAAATTGATCCAATTTACTGTCAAATCCACAGACTCCATTCAAATTTTGCTGATTATTCAATTATGTCTTTCATGTATCTAGGATCATATGCTACATTTAGTTGTCAAATCTCTTTACTCTTTTCTAGGCTGAAACAATTTCCCAGTCTTTCCTTATTTTTCATGAGTGTGACATTTTTTTGAAGAGAGCAGGCCAGTTACTGTGTAGAATCTCTCTCAGTTTGGGTTTATTTAATGTTTCCTTATGATTTATACCTTTTTGGCAGGAATATTACAGGAATATGCTGTGCTTTTCTCACTATCATTTCAGGAAGCACATGATGTTGATTACCTTATTTCTGTGGTGTGAACCTTTTATTACTTGGTTGAGAGGGTATCTTCTGGGTTTCTCCCATGTAAATTTAGTTAATGAGAATATTAGTGTATATTGGGCTCGGAGATTACACTGTGTCTCTATGTGAATATGGATAGTTAGCATTTACCTACATGTATCTGTCTACTTTCTCTTGTTTAAAAACAAGGAAAAAAAAGGGGCAACTGGGTGGCTTAGTCGGTGAAGCGTTGGACTTCAGCTCAGGTCATGATCTTGTGGTTCATGGGTTGGAACCCCGCATTGGGCTCTGTGCTGACAGCTCAGAGCCTGGAGCCTGCTTCGGATCCTGTGTCTCCCTCTCTGTCTGCTCCTCCCCCACTCGTACTCTGTCTCTCAAAAAATCAATAAACATTAAAAAAAAATAAAGAAAGAAAAAAAACTTTAAAAATGGGGTTATAGAAGGTCAGCAAAGGGTGGGTTTGAGATTTTGGGTGGGTTTAAGTGGGCATTTTGGCAACATGGCTTCTCCTTTGGCATGTTTAACTATGATGTTTAACAGACATCCTTGCAGTTGAAGACACTTTTATTTTTATTTTTTATTTTCTTTTTAAGATTTATTTCTTTTTGAGAGACAGAGAGAGACAGAGCACAAATGGGAGAGGGGCAGAGAGAGAGGGAGACACAGAAGTCAGAGCAGGCTCCAGGCTCTGAGCTGTAAGCACAGAGCTGACGCGGGGCTCAAACTCATAGACTGTGAGATCATGACCTGAGCCAAAGTCGGATGCTTAAACGACTGAGCCACCCAGGCGCCCCTGAAGACACTTTTAAAATAAAATTCTCTCCTAATGATGTCTTGAGCCCTGCCACTCGATGGGAATCAGCAGAACCTGGAGGATCGTATTTGGAATTGACATTCTCTATTGTCATTTTGTTCCTGTTTATTTTTAAATTTCTTTTTGTTTCACTGGAAAGGAATGATGATGCTCAGTTTTAAAAGGTAAAAGTGTACAAGTTGCTTTGTTACAATACAACTAAATGTGTACACAAAGGAAAAGAAAGAATGTTAATTGGTAATACGTGTTTTGTGAGGAGATACTTCACAGCATATGTAAATATTCTATCAAACTTTTACCCATTTAACATTTTAAGACCTTTATTGATGATTTTTGTCTGACTCAATTACTTTGTTGTCAAATGATGACTTAAAAAATATTTCATCATGTCTTCTAGACTTATCAGTTGGCATTGTATGGTAGTCAGGTTTTTCCCTTCCCTTCCTATTCATTCATACATTTATTTATATTGGTATGGGCTTATGGTGTTCTATTACAATGTTACTATCATTATTTTTTTGATGCTCAGATTGACTCAGACTTGTCAAATGGGAACTTTGTCAGGCCAGTTTCTTTTTCTTTCTAATTATTTTTAAAATCAATTAATTAAATTTTTTTTAATTTTTTTATTTTTGAGAGAGAGAGAGAGAGAGAGACCATGAGCGGGGTGGGGGAGAGGGGCAGAGGGAGACAGAGAATCTCAAGCAGGCCCCATGTTTACTGCAGAGCCGGATGGACGCAGGGCTTGATCCTGTGATCCTGGGATTATAACATGAGCCAAAATCAAGATTTGGACGCTCAACCGACTGAGCCACACAGGTACCCCTGTCAGGCCAGTTTCTTTGTTGTTTTGACAAGTCCCTCTACTCTGAACGTTTCATTACTTTCTGCTCAAGATGTCTCTAGCCTATCTGGTATTTTTCCTGCCCCAGCCCTGGACTTAGTCATTCCTCCAATGAGCCCTCGTTTCTTTCAGTAGAGAATGGTATTTAGAAACCAAAGGTCTGGGGGCGCCTGGGTGGCGCAGTCGGTTAAGCGTCCGACTTCAGCCAGGTCACTATCTCGCGGTCCGTGAGTTCGAGCCCCGCGTCGGGCTCTGGGCTGATGGCTCAGAGCCTGGAGCCTGTTTCCGATTCTGTGTCTCCCTCTCTCTCTGCCCCTCCCCCGTTCATGCTCTGTCTCTCTCTGTCCCAAAAATAAATAAACGTTGAAAAAAAAAAATTAAAAAAAAAAAAAACAACCAAAGGTCTAGGTGTTAGGTGTGTTCACTGATACTGGGGGCTTAGGAGATATCATTGCTTCCACGTTCTCTCAGCAGATGCTGCTAGGAAACATAAATATACACACACACCCACACTCCTATATTATTTTCTGTTTTTGTGTCTTATCTGTGTCTTTATCTGTGTATTAAAGAGGTGCCTGGGTCGTTCAGTTGGTTAAGTGTCTGACTCTTGATTTTGGCTCAGGTAATGATCTCATGGTTTGTGAAACTGAGCCCCTTTTTGGGCTCTGTCCTGCCCATGTGGAGCCTGCATGGTATTCTCTCTCTCTCTCCCTCTCTCTCTGCCCCTCCCCTGCATGTGTGCACTCTTTCTCTCAAAATAAATAAATAAACTTAAAACAAACAAACAAACTGTGAGTTCATACCATTACTTGCTGGGATTACTTTCTTGAGTAGTCCACCTCAGTAGCTCATTTGAATTCTTACCAAAACCAAAGTGACTTGGAGACAATTAAAATTATAAGTACTATAGGGGCACCTGGGTAGCTCAGTTGGTTGGGCATCTGGCTTCAGCTCAGGTCATGATCTCCCAGTTTGTGAGTTTGAGCCCCGTGTCAGTCTCTGTGCTGACAGCTCAGAGCCTGGAGCCTGTTTCAGATTATGTGTCTCCTCCTCTCTCTGCTCCTCTCCCACTCGTGCTCTGTCTCTCTCACTCTCTTTCAAAAATAAATAACACATTAAAATTTAAAAAAAATTATAAGTACTACATAAGTAAAAATAATAGAGATTATTTCTTTTTAACTGGTCTGGGATTGGGGGCAGATACATTTTTGTAATTATAAAGAAATAAGTAAGAAATTTCAGGCCTATTTTTTTTTTAATTTTTTTAACGTTTTTATTTTTTTTTGAGACAGAGAGAGACAGAGCATGAACGGGTGAGGGTCAGAGAGAGAGGGAGACACAGAATCTGAAACAGGCTCCAGGGTCGGAGCGGTCAGCATAGAGCCCGACGTGGGGCTCGAACTCACAAACTGTGAGATCGTGACCTGAGCCGAAGCCGGACTAATTCTGGTCAGCGTTTTTTTTTGTGTGTACAGTTTAGAACGTTAAAAGTAAGGGTCTTTTTTTTTTGCCTATTTGTTATAGGAAACGAGACTACGAAGGCTATTTGTGCTCCCTGCTGCTCCCTGCAGACTCCAGAAGCTCTGCCTTTGCACTGAGGGCCTTCAATGTGGAACTGGCTCAGGCTGGTATTAAATACCTTCAAAAATTATTTGCAAAAATGGTGAAAATATTTAATGCTGAACAATAAAGAAATATAGTTATAATTTATATGCTGGATGTGTTTTAGTTCTCCGCTGGTGATTTCTTTGTCCTTCTTCTAGTTAGGCTTATCAATTATATTCCAAAAATAAACTAGCTAACAAACTTAACGATTCTGGAACTACCATTCTGGAATTTTAATTTCTTTTATCTAAGGTTATTATAAAACTATGCAATTAACATTTATGTTTGTCTGTTAGTTGAGTAGGTTAATCACAGTCTCACTGTTTATAGCAGTTTTCAAAGCACTTTTTAAATGACGTTTTAGCTTTAACGTGAAGTAGGCAATAGAAGTAATTATAGCAAACCCAGGTCTTAGATCATACTAACTCGCTTTTGTCTAAAAAATTACAAAGGAAGGAAAGAGCCTTCTTTTTCTTAGAATGAAAGATCATGGGCTGACGTAACATGAATTGGAGGATGGAAATGTGGGAGTTGAAGTGGTATGGCTTTGGTCTTCTCAGTAAATTAGATGGAGGGCTCAGACATTAAGAGTGAGGGAGCAGGGGAGGGTTTGAAATCTCAAAGAAAGTGCAAATTTTGGCAGGGCTTCTCCAGTGGATAGGATAGGAAGTGAGCTAGGAAGGAATGAAAGGATGTGAGTAGAGCACTGAGGCACAACTGAGGTGAGACACTGAATCTGCAGACAGTCTGATAGATTCTGGCTGTATTTTTGTTGGTGTCTTCTAGATGTCATGAGTCCATTTTTTTTTTACCTCATCCTTTTTCAGGCATAAACTGAACATCTGCATCTTCAGCACAGTGTAGCAGTAAAGAGTCCCCATTGTGATCTTCCATTATTGCTTTACAGTGATTAAAATTCCATTTTTAATGAACAAACCATTAGGGTTCTCCCTGAATTGTCTGTCACCTTGTAGGAGTGTTTCGCTGCTGCTTTACACACAGTCTTGTTCGTCCGTTCGTTCATTCATTCATTCAATAAGTATTTGATTATCTCAGATATGCTAGGTACTGTTTTAGATCCTGGAGTATAACACTGAATAAAACATATAAAGCCCATGTACTCAAGGAACAAAACAAGTACTGTGTAATGTATCAGATAGAAGCAAGTACTATGGAAAAAAAAATTAAGGGGGATGGGGAAGGCTTGGTGTTGCAGGGGCTCTGATTTTACAGTGGTCAGGAAAAACCTGAGAAGGTAGCATTCGAGCAAAAATTTGAAGGAGGCAAGGGAGTAAGGTATGTGAGCAAAGACTATTCTACACAGAAGGAACAGGAAGTACAAAGGCTCTGAGGTGCAAATGTACCTGATAAAAGGCCAGTGTCATATAGCAGATGAGGGAGGAAGGGCATGGGAGGTTAGGTTAGAGGTATCTGGGCCCGAAAGGCAAGGTCTTGGAGACCAGTGCAGTCACTTTGGCTTTTACTCGGAGATGGGAAACCATTGGAAGGTTCTGAGCAGAAAAGGACATCAAAGCTTGGTCACATTTTTAAAAGATTACTCTTGATATTTATTGAGAATAGACCATATACCACCAGGATCTGAATACTAAACATTACTGAAACCCACCCACCACCAAGACCATTAACAAAAATAACTTTTCATGTGGAAATAATTGCACACACACAAAGGTAAGAATAGTACAAAAAATACCCATAGACCCTTTCGTTAGTATTCTGCCACACATGCTTTGTCGTTTTGTCTATATATTTCATTCTATGAATCATTTTAGAGTATCTTCACTACCCATGGCCCTTATCCCTTTAATCTTGAGCATGTATTTCACAAGTGAGAATATTCTCTTATGTAACCATAGTAATCAATTTGAGTAAATTTGGTGTTGATACAATGTTTAATCTGTCTGGTTTCCAATTTTGTCAAATGATCCAATAATGTCCTTTATGGCATTTTTTCCCCTTCTGTACAGGAGCCAATCTAGGATCATGTATTGCATTAATTTTCATATCTCTAACCTCCTTTAATTTGGAACATTTTCACAGCCTTTGTCTTTTATGACATTGACATTTTTAAAATAATACTTTTCCTTTTATTTTTTTATTCTTAAAATACTATTAAAAATTAGAATGTTTCTCATTTGGAGTTGTTTTGTTTTTTTTGTCGTATTATGCATTCCTAGTCTAATACTACTAAGTGATGTATGTCCTTTTCAGCAAATCATAAGGAGGTATGAAATGTCCATCTGTCTCTTATTGGTGATACTAATTTTGGTCACAGTCAAAATATTAATATTTTTTCCTTGTTAAATGTGAGTAGACATTTTAAGACCATGGTCCTCATCAGAATTTACCTCCTAGATAGTCAACAGGTACATGAAAAGTTGCTCAGTACAACTAACATCAGGGAAATGTAAATCAAAACCACAGCAAGATATCACCTCACACATGTTAGAATGACTGGAATCAAAAACACAAGAAATAACAAGCGTTGGCAAGGATGTGGAGAAAAGGGGACCCTTGTACACTGTTGGTAAGAATGTGAGCTGGTGCAGTCACCATGGAAAATAGTAAGGAGATTCTTCAAAAAATTAAAAATAGAACTACCCTATGACCCAGCAATTCCACTTCTGGATATTTATCTGAAGAAAATGAAAACACTGACTTGAAAAGATATCTGCACCCCCTTGTTCGCTGCAGCATTATTTACAGTAGCCAAGATACAGAAGCAACCTAAGTATCCGTTGATAGGTGAATGGATAAAGAAAATGTGTAAATATACAATAGAACATTTTTCAGCCATAAAAAAGAAGGAAATCTTGCCATCTGTGACAAGTTGGATGGACTTTGAGGGCATTATGCTAAATAAGTCAGACAAATATATGATCTTACTCATATGTGGAATCTAAAAAACAAAAAAATCCCCAAAATTCATAGATAGATTAGACTGGTGGTTGCAGAGATAGGGTGTGGGTGTAAGAGAAATGGGTGAAGGTGATCAAAAAGTATAAACTTCCAGTTATAAGTAAGTCATGAGGCTGTAATATATAGCATGGTGACTATATTATATATTTGAAAGTTGCTAAGAGAGTAGATCTTAAAAGGTCTCATCACAAGAAGAAAAGGATTAGTAACTGCATATGGTAATGGAGACTTACTGTGGTGATCATCCACAATTCATATATCAAGTTATGTTGTACACCTGAAACTAGTATATGTCAATTCTGTCTTGAAAAAAAGCTTACCTCCTAGATTTAGCATGCATTGGTTACTCCTGCCTGAATCTAACAAGGCCATTCTTAATCAGTAGTGGGGAGATGGTATAATAATTTTCTTTTTAAAAATTACTTTGTGAATGAATGAATTTATTTAAATGGACATACAGTAAAAGTCACTTTTTGTGGTGTACAGTTCTATAGGTTTTGAAACATGCGTAGAGTCATGCGTTCACCATTGTGGTCATGAAAAAAGAACAATTCCATCAACCCAAAAAATTCCCTCATGTGCCCCTTCGTAGTCAACCACTCCCCTCCCCCATAATCTTTTGCAAGTCCTTCTGGTTCCGTTATGAGTTCTGAGTGTGCACAGCATAAGATACACTACTTTTTTTTCTTTTTTAGAGGTTGCGAGTGAGGGAGAGGGATCAGATGAGGGAGGGGTGTAGAGGGAGAGAGAGAGGGAGAGAAAGAGAGAATACATAAGCAGGCTCCACGCTCAGCATGGAGCCCAATGTGGGGCTTGATCCTGGGATCATGACCTGAGCCAAAATCAAGAATCAGACGCTCAGCTGACTGAGCCAGCCAGGCGCCCCTAAACTACCACTTTTTTGAGCCATAATTTCTCTATTTGTAAATGGGTATATTGGTAATGACCCTGTGGGTATGTAGTGAGGACTGAGATCAGATAATCTCTGGGACAGTACCTAGCAAAGGGCCTGGCACTCGTAGACATTTGGTAAATGTTACTTCCTTCACTGCTTCCTCTAGAAAGCCCCTGGCCCTACTTCCTAGGTTCATCTCCAGACTTACACATAATTTTACCATCACTAATCTAATGAAGATTGTTTTTCTTCTCTTATGCTTACTTTTAAAAACGTTTTTATTATGGAAAATCTTTGAATATATATAGAATTGGAGAATGTAGTATAGTAAACTTCCATAAACCCATCACCCAGCTCCACCTGTTACTAGCTCATGGCCAATCTTGATTTTTCATTTCTCTCCCCACCTACCCCATCCTCACCTCCAAGTTATTTTGAAGTAAGTCTCAGATAAATTTTTCCATCTGTAAATATTGCCATATGTATCTCTAAAAGATAACTCATTTAAAAAATAACTACAAAACCATTGTCCAACATTAAAAATTTAGTAATTCCTTAGTATCATTAAACATCTAGTGTTCAGATTTTTCCTAGTTGTCTCTTTCTCTTCAAATCAGGATTCAGATAAAGTCCACATACTGCAACTGGTTCATCTATCAAATTTCTTTTAATCTAATTGTCCGCCCCCCACTCTTTTTCTTGGCAATTTATTTCTAGAAGATGATCTCCTATTTTTGTTTTTGTTTTTTTTTTTTTTTTT